ACACTGTAAATATTTAATGTTTTCTCATTCATTCATTCATTCATTCATTCATTCATTCATTCATTCATTCATTCAGACTTAGCTTTAAAGGACATCTCTAAATTAATTTGAACTTGTGTCTAAAAAGCTCTGTACATATCTTGGTCTATGATTAAACATATATTCTCCCAGGCAACCTACTTCCATTATGTTAGAACCCATCTCCCCATCCTTATACAGGAGAGATTAATTAATCTTCTAATGAGAAGGACATTATACTTTTGCATTTGTAAGCAGGTAAGCTCTTTGGTCAATGGACTATTTCTGCATCATCATAGGCTCATGACCAAAGATCTTTGAGACTTAAAGTGAATTTGGAAGTCATAGAATCATAGATTTAGAGCTGGAGACTCTCTAATCCAATGCTTTCATTTTCTGCATGAGAAAATGAAAGGCTGGTAAGGTGAGTTGACTGCCCAAGGTCCCTGCCGGCAGTGTATTTGACACCTCTAGTATAGAATCTAGACATTTCTGTTCCTGCTCCTTGGGGTCTGTCAGTTTAAGGTTGTGTAGGAAAATAGGCTTGGGAGGGAGAAGGAGATGGTTCACAGGTATGGGGGAGGGAGATTAGTAGGGGAATGGACCAGCCCCTCTTCCAGACTGACTGCACCAGGTCTGATCGTCCTTTGTCTCATGGAGAAACCATCCCCAGATTCTATTTTGCATGACTGCAACTCCACCCCTTAACTGTTTTATCAATGATTTAAACAAAAATCCTGTTTATAGCTCTATCCTAGGTTCACTTATATTATTCTTACTATGCTGGAATTATGTAGAAGTTCAAAATATTGCATGAATACATATAAAATAAGCATGAAAATAATGAATACTTAAATGCTAAAATCAGTAGCATAAATGAGAGCAACAGCAGGAGGCAAAGTACATTTTAATTAGATAATTAAGATACTACCCTGGTTCCTTAATGATTATAGAGCAGAATTCCATAAAGACAATAATAATGATAAATGATATGCAGCATGTGTGGTTTACAAAATGATTTATGTAAATCAGGCACGTATTAGACCAAGTCCTAAAGAGTTTAGTTACTAAAGTAGCCAAAAAGGATTTCTTTACAAGGTTCCATGGGAAGACCTCAAAGACAGTGTTAAATAGTGAGGCTTCTTTATGGTCTTTGTTGGATGAAATGATGAGTATCTTCATTAAATTACACTGTAGTAGGGGCAGCTAGGTGTCACAGTGAATAGAGCTCTGGCCTTGGAGTCAGAAGGACCCAAGTTCAAATCTGGCCTCAGACACTTGACACTTATTAGCTGTGTGACCTTGGGCAAGTCACTTAACCCTGATTGGCTTGTCAAAAGGAAAAAAACAAAATCATACTGTAATCCATTTATTTGAAATAGTCTTGGAATGTCCTCCCTTCTGTGACAGATGATTAATTAGACTCCTATTTTATTGGACCCCTATTTTATTCCAATCAGTATTAATCAGTCTGATAGGATTCCATAGGGGTAGTGATGATAAGTTCTGTATATTAGGCCCCAGAACCGTGAGCTGTAGATTATAAATTCACTTGCTCAATCATAGGAAGCTAACTGGAAGACTTCCACCCTTGTTTTTCCTTGTTATGGTGACCAAGCCCAGTATGGTAGAGGTGACTAAATTACATGGAACGTCCCCCAGCTATGTTTGTTGCCCCTCCATCCTTTGTCATCCCTCTATCGCCCAACATGGGGAGATGACCATGAGCACTTGGCCAACAAGTGGTCCACTTTGCCAGCCTGTGGCCTGCCTGGTCTACTGGTCCATCAGCACTTGTTTTGACATCTATTTATCAGCCCAGACCATGGGTCTGCTCAGTACTCTCTTCTTGGTAGGACCTCCTGAAAGGTCAAGATAGGTCTGTCAAAGTCTGTTCATTAGCCCACTTGTCAACCAATGGGATTCTGCATTTTGTGTAGACCCTCCTGGAGAGTTGAGGGTCAAAGGCAAGGTCTATCAATGAGATTCTGTAGTTTAGTTTGCTGTATCTGTATTGTCTGGGTACTAAGGACTATAAAACTAAGGCCCTGGTGGAAGGGGGCATCTCAGATCATGAGATAGGTCTGAGGTCCACTTCATTAGAGGGGCCATGGACCTTTGAACAAAGTGCCATTGTCTTAGAGCCCTGCCTCAGTTTCTTTTATCATATGTTAGACAATGTTAGGATGCCACACTTCTATTGTCTCCCAAAGCTAGGTCTATCTGCTCCATCCAAATGTATACCTTCGATATCCAAGCTGGTCCCTCTAATCCCAGCAGTGGATTCTTTGAGTCCTCTAGTGGATCCCTGATCACTGACAGATGAATATGCAATGGGAACTGGACCTATGATTTTATTGACATAGGGAACTTCTGGATGAGGAAATTCTCATTGCCAATATAAGTAGGCACCTCAGCAACTTATTGTCTTAAAGAGTTGCTATGAGAACTGAGAGATTAAGTGACTATTCCAGGGTTGTATAGCCAGTATGTGTCAGAGATGGTACTTGAACCTAGGTCTTTTTTGACTCCAAGGCCAGCTGTCTAGCCATTATACCATATTTCATTGGTATGAAAAGAAAAGTTAACATTCCCCTTGATTGGGATGGAAGAGGAAGATATACTTCAGGATAATCTGATTAAATTTGTCAACTTTGTGTCCAAGCTTTCTTAGTATCACACTGCTATGGTCTGATTTCAGTGCACACAGTTTTATATTTCTAATCTGTTGAATCTATTCTTGTGTTTGTTTGTTTTCATGGGGAAGGTGGACAGTATCAGAAATTCCATGTTGGTATCAATAGTGATCGTGTAGGTATCAGAAATTCCAGGTACACAACAATGGAGATGGACAACTCCACACCAATGAAGAAGGGGAAGTCATCTTCCTTTTTAAGAGTTGAAAGGTGGGATAACTTGCCTATGCTCACCCAGCTAATATATGTCAGAGACAGGATTTGAACTTGGGATCCCAAGCCAGCTTGGCTCCCAGGCAGTTTCTCTATCCACTATACTATGTTGCCTCTCTGTTTTTCCAAATATGCAGCAAATTTGAATTACCTCCACCAAACAGACCAGGAAAATTCCCTTTCTCAAGAGGGGAAGGCTACTAGGAAGAGGCTTGAATGCTACTTGGAGAGAATGCAACCCTGGACACTGGACTGATTGATTATATTTTGAAACTCTATTGAGTTGGAGTTCTCATGCCCTAATATATTTGTCTTGCCTTTATAGGTTTTTACCTCTATCTTTTAATAGGGAAGTGGGATAGCCTACACCTGTTTTTACAGGTTAAACAGGTTTGGATATTGAGCTTTTTAAACAGAACTCTAAATTGTGTTCTAAATAGTATTTGAGATTCTTACGTTGGCCTACTCCTACAGTATTTACTTTGGGGGTTTTATTAGCCTTTTTCTGACGGACTGCCATTTCCCAACCCTGGGAGGTAGCAAGTTACTGGCAGGTATTGTTTTGTTTTGTGTTTTCTCTCATCATGAGAAAGAAAAAAAGTTAAGGGCCGAGAGAAGAGGAAGTGAAGAAAAGTTAAGTCGATTAAGGATGTGAACAACTAGGACGGGAGGGAGGGTGATTAATAAAAAGGTCAGACCACAAAGGCAAGAAAGGCAGAACAGAAAATTGGCCAGAGAAAATTTGGAAAGTGATTACAGAAATGTAAATAACAAGAGGCAGGTATATAAAAAAGGAACCAAATCTATTGGTAGGGATTAGATCTTAAAGTTCTCTCCAATTTCAAGAAGTGATGAGTCGATGTGAGAGAAGAAAATCAGAAAACAGATGACAAGGTCAAGAGAGATAGAAACAAACACAAATCTTTTACTTTTTTTTTAATTGTGCTTTCAGGTTTTACTGTTATAAAAACGGTCTTCCTGAGTTTGAATTTTCATTTTCCCATTCACTCTGCTCATGATTCATGTGGCCTTTGTGAAGTTGTTTGTTTTTTTTTTAGCTTAATTTTTTTTTAAATGGAAGGAAACAGAGATAATATGCTCCTAGAGTGTCCTCTGAGGAATATGTGTGAGGCTATCTAGGTGCAAAATACCCAACAAAACCACTTACTTCCTATGAGTTTATGGCAAGGACAGAAGTAATGTAGACTAGTCAGTTTTTACATATCCACATGTACCTGGTCCCTGAAAGAGTTACGCATTTATTCTAAAAGAGAAACTGCTTTTTCTATCAGAAAACATGACTGAAACCCCATAAAATCAACAAAGACACATATTACTAGGTATTACCTACCTGTCAGGCAGTCAATAAGTATTTACTAAGCAACTACTATGTGCTAGGCACTATGGAAGTGCTGGGGAAACAGTGAAACAATCCCTTTCCTCTAGGAACTTACAATGAAATGGGGGAGATAAACATGTAAACAACTATGTACAAACAAGCTATACACAAGATAAATAGGAAATAATGAACAGAGGAGAGGCACCAGAATTAAGAGGGGCTGGGAAAGGCTTCCTACAGAAGGTGGGATTTTAGTCAGATTTGAAAGAGGGCAAGGAAGCCAGGAAGCAGAGACGTCACCGGGATAGGATGGATCCGAACCTGGGTTTGATACAGCGGCTTTCAAGAGTAATAGTGCAATTTGAAAGGGCTTTCAAAGTGAAGAAATAGATGATACAATAGCCATTCACTTCCTCAAAACTATTTCACAAACCTTAAAGAAAAAACATAGAAGTAGCTTTTGAAGTAACCATGGTCCATCTAGGATTTTCAAAGAGTTTATGTTGAACAGGAGAATTCAATTCATTCTTCATCCTTACACATATGCTAGGTAATGAAGGGAGACTAGGAGGCACAAAAAGTCTCAAAGTCATTTCAATTAATGATTAATTCTCAGAGCTAAGAGTTAACCCATACATTTGTAAGAACCCCAGCACTCAGAAGGTATAAAATTAATAAATGCATCTGAAAGGCAGCTGATTTGTACACAAATATATGAATTTTATTAACACACATGATATACTCTTTCTTGACAATAAATAAAATTCAATCTTCAAGGCCTACCTTGATTTCAGAAAACAGTGTACACTAGGAAAAATGTTCAAACTTTGCAATAGTCTTCTATGGGACTATACCTGAAAGATAGTTAGTTGAGATGACCCTTTGGATCAGATATTTCAAATAAAACTAATAGGTGCAACATCTATATAAGCATGATGCTTTCCTACACATCTGAAAAGGTAGTTAATGCCCCTTTGTTACACCTCCCTCTAGGGTCTGGCAATTTTTTTCCAGTTTTAATAAAGTGTAGAATAAAAATAAGTAGTGTCACAAAAGTATATAGTTCTGATATAAAAATCTTTTTATACAAATATATTTCTATTTGTGCAGAATCATTCTCAAAATACATAATTTTCTTTATATTAAGACACAGTATTAAAATAAATAATATTTTTTAGGGAAAAACTCCTTTACATTCTAAAACTGCAATTGGAAGAATATAAAAACTGATTCATTATTAATTCTACTTCAATGTGTCTTCTGTCCTATCTGTCACTTTGTATATATACTATGAAGCTACAGACATTGCCACACACAACACCTCTGGAATTCATGTTTTCCTGCAGTGTCTCCTATTGTATTCATCATGCCTCCACCCAGAACAATGGTTTACCTGGACTATAGTACTAGGCAGTCTTACACAAGGGCAGCTCTCCACACCTTCCACCTTTACACTACTAGCATACTGAAGAAGAAGTCCTGGTGTATCAGTTTACATAGCATAATGTTTCTCTACCATACAGGACCTTTCCAACCCCTATCTCCATGTAGAGAGAAGGGTCCAGACTATCTAGATTAGTGGACTTGGATTTTCCTATATTTGAATCATTCTTAACCCTGACATCCGGACAACCAGATCTCACTTCCTTCACTAATTCCTACATGCTATGACTTATGCACTATGGTGATATAGAGGCCATCTCTATCACAGAGAATTCTTGAAAAGTTAGAATAATCAATCTGTTTCTTATGATGCTAAAGAAAAGGGGGAAATGGAGGTATATGAACCTAAATGCATCTTGTTTACCTTACAGTGAGACATAATAGCTTTATTTTTCCTACCAAATTTTATAAGGCAAATAAACTGTTCTTGGAAAGCTCTGGCTCACGGTCCCCACATATACAATAAGTAAATATGAAGTGGTGTCTCAGGGCAATCTGGGTCGCTAAAAAAAAAAAGTGGTAACTCTTCAAGGATCTTTGAGGCCTTTTACATTGCTTCACTTTGCCAAGAAGGCACATCCCTAGGCATGCACAGGCATGTGTGTCATGCGCTCGCAAGCGTGCACACAGACACAGACAGACAGACAGACACACATACACACACACAGTGTTTCATGAGGAGCCTTCTTTCATTTTTCTCAGTTTGGAACATTATTCATGACAGTTTTCCCAGGCAGAAGGAAAAAGGCTCTCTTTTCACAAAAAATTCAAAGAGCCGAGGTGAGCCTGGCAAGAATTTGCAGTGGTGAATATCTAAAGCCTGGTTTCCTGTACCTCTTCTTCTGTTTCTTCCTTCAGGGCAGTGATTTTGGCTCGGGACTTGTGCCTGCTTGAGTTCCGGTGGGGGAAGAGCTTCATCCTGTCTGAGTGACTGATGGCCTGCCTGTAGAGACTCTTCTCAGTCACCAGCTTCTGGATGGACTCATACTGTCGCACTTTGTTCTCTTCTATGACCTAGGGAAATGTGGACCAGTTAGCCCCTCAGGGAGAATATAAGCTAAGATACCAGACCTAACAAGCAGACAAGGCAGAAAGTAGAGTGAGAACTTACCATAAGTTCTTTGGAAGAGATAAAACCCCCAAGGCCCCTCTCCAAAGAGGAGGTCATCATCAGTGTTACCTCATTTACTCAGTCTGAGCGCTCAAGCTCTAAAGAGGCCCTAGAGTTGCCCATGTTATACTATGGTCCTTACACATAGCAGCATGGCAGTTTTTCAGACAGCAGAGGGTTATCACAATCAAAATAAACAAACAAAATTAGCCATAACATGATGGGTCAGTAAGAAGCAAGGGTCAACTCTGGCAGGTAAAATACTGACCACTGACACTCCTACTCTAGCACCTTCTAAGAAAGAATGCCAAAGTCCTTCACCAGTTTCCATGATAGAAATTTGGTTCATTTCATAGTGTAATAGAAAGACTGCTGGATTTGAAACCAGAAGTTGACTTCAAATCCTGTCTTTGTCATTTACAGTTTTGGGGCAAGTCACTTAACCTTTTGGGTCTTAGTTTCCACATCTATAAAGTGAACAAATTGGATGAAATGAACTCTGACCCAGCTTTAAATCAATAGCCCTAGGATCCATCACCTTGGAAATCTATGTGTTTAGTATATAGCAAAACTAGCAGCCTGTTCAGTATTGAGTATGAAGTTAGCATGACATTCTTGTTGACTGAATGGCATATTACAAAGAAAAATACTTTTATTTCATTCTTAAATAACCACAAATAATTATTAATCAGCTATCTGTGTCTGTTGGGCACCATACAGCTTCTTTTTTTCCCCTGCTTTCTATCTATTTATAGAATTCAGTTTTTAAAATTTTGAGTTCCAAATTCTATCCCTCCCTCCAGTCCCTTCCCCACCCAAGAATGGCATATTATAGATGGGCAAACTATTGTTGTTTGTCCTTCATTTTTGAATAGGATCAATGACATTATAGGGTGATGTCTTGATTCCTATGCAAGTTGGATTTAAGTGAGTCAGAGCTGCATAAAAGTCCACCGCCTCACTCTTTCTTCCAGAGTCATCAAAGTCCAGTGGCAAGACAAAAGTCTTCGACTTCCTTCATGGCCATTGGTACAAATTGTTCTCATCCGCCCATTCCACAGGGAGAAGTCTTCACATGCTTGAGGTAGACATCCCCCCAACTCACTGATGGGTTTGAGGCCCATTGGTTTCCTCAACCTGGTTTAGCCTGTCTGCCAAAACAGTTTACCAGGGTGTGGCCACTGTGAATGCCACAGCTCCTTGGAGCCACAAGTAAGGGTTGAGTACCAGGTAGACACCAAAGCTACATAAGCAGCCCTGAAAAGGGCCCAGCAAGCCCTCATGTGGGAGTTGCTTGTCCTTCTTGAACAACCCATAGACCCCAATGGGCAAACTAGAGCCCAATTTCATTCACGCAGTTAAGCCATCAGCAAGACCAGGAGCCTATCTCCAGATTCATCACTTATTGGATAATTAAAAATAAAGAAGCTCCTTAAACATAGAAATGTTTGTCCTTGCTCAGGGATGTACAAAGGCTTGACAGAAATACTGTGATACATCCTTAGAATTTCCTTGTGACTAAGCCTAGGGGAGCTTCGAATCATCATTTAAAAAAAACAAAACTGCAGGAGATTTTGCCACTAAAAGGAGGGTGGGAAGCGTACCAAATGGAGCTATCCACAAGGAACAGAAGCTGCTGAACCTTTCAACATCAGATGTAAAAAGAGATTACCTGATACTAATGAGTGCTCTATATTCAAGAGTATAAACAAGAAAACTCTAGAGGCTGACTAAAATATGATCAAATACAATACAGAATTTAGCACAACATAAGTCTGCTTTGGATGTCATCCAAGAGGATTTAATTAGAATAAGTACCAGAAGGACTTTTTCATAGGATGGTTTCACCCGAAACACGGTCTCACAGCTTGGACCCCAAGCAGAGTCTCATAAATACTCCACATTAATAAGCAATCTGCTGCCATTTCAGATTCACTTAATTCCAATATGACCTCACAGCTTGGATCAAACCCAGAAAGTTGGGCAGCTACATTGAGTAATACTCAGTGGCCTCACATGACACAATTGTAAGGAAGGAACTTCTACACTGGGAATATTTGCAGAGACTTTCTAAATATAGCCTCCTTCACACACCTGAGAACCTTAACTTAGAATTCTTCAACCAGGAATTAAATAAGGAAATCAGGTTATAAGTAAATTATAAAATACTCACCAAAAATCGCTGACACTCCAACATTGCTTCTATCCTGTGTTCAGAGAGGATTACAGTGCAGTCGGCAAAGGCATTCTTCAGCACTCTTCGAATGATTTGATACGTTCTTTTTTTTAAAAAGAGAGAAAGAATAATGAGCCCACATAACCACAGAACTTTAAGGATCTAGCTCTTTAAGGGATCTTACTAAATAAATAAATACAGGCCTGTCTGTGTCTTCTAAGACTCTTGAATAATTTACCATCCTTTATAAAAAGCATATTTAAAAAGAGAATATTTTTGATATAGAATTAGTTATGATCAGTTTTTTTACCAACAGGTCAGATTTTTAGTACGTGGGAACTATGAGGCAAACACTTTTAAGGTATCAAAATAAAATATCCTATATGAAAATCACTAACATTTCCACCCCATGAATATACTACTATTTGTATTCTTGTCACACACTACCAATATCACATCTACATTTGTGTTTGAAATGGAAAAAAGGAAATTAGGCAGCTAGGCTTTACTTGGGTAACTATACAGCTTCATCCTCTGTTAACACTGCAAGTTTGCGTAGCATTTTGAAGTGGTCTGCAAGAGCTAGGAGTGAGACTCACATTCAGATAAATAAACCTGCACCACTGAACACTTAGTATTGTAGCATTTTCACCATGAAATCTTACTGCTTCTAGGTGAGTAACTATGGGTTACACAGGAGATGGCATCATGAAAATGTGGGTCAATGATAAATAGATCTAAATGATTCTGCTTTCTGTTTTGTCAAAAGAATAGAAACACTATAACTTACATGGGATCCAGATGAGCACTTGGTTCATCCAGTAGCAAAATTTTTGCCTTACTAAGAACAGACCGAGCCAAACATATTAACTGTTTGTGGCCATGGCTTAGAACACAACCAGCATCAACGAGGACAAAATCCAGCTTGCCAGGAAACTGCTCTATCACGGATTTCAGTCCCACCTACAGGAAAAGGAATAGAGGAAAAACAGCTTTCTTAGTGACCATTCACACATGTCCTCAAAATGCCATGTGGGTAAACACACATGAGTTTGAACAGGTAGAATGGAGCAACTGAGGTTCTCAGAAGCATCCAGTTTAACTACAGTTTACAAACTCTCAGCCTGAATCAGTTAAGAATTTTAGAGCTTTTTAAAAAGAAATTTGTTTTGTACTTTGAAGTAAGAGAATGTCTTGCTTTATAAAAGAATTAAAAGATCCTATAGGAATAGTATCAGGAACACTAAAGTCCAAACAACATGAGTCATGCGACAAAGGATGTTTGTTTTATCTGTGTTTAAAGTCTAATGAGAAATAAAGCTTCAGTCTACTGCTTGGGGTAGATGGGACATTAATAGTAGATGACTGACACATGAAAAAATGCTCTAAATCACAATTGATCAGATAAATGCAAATTAAAACAACTCTGAGTTACCACCTCACATCTATCAAAGAGGGTAATATGACAAAAAAGGAAAATGTTGGATGTTGGAGGGGATGTGAGAAAACTGAGACACTAATGCATTGTTGGTAGAGTTGTGAACTGATCCAACCATTCTGGAGAGCAATTTGTAATTATGCCCAAAGGGCTATGAAACTGTGCATACCCTTTGATCCAGTAATACCACTGCTATACCCCAAAGACATCCAAAAAAAGGGAAAAGGACCTATTTGTACAAAAATATTTATAACAGCTCTCTTTGCAGCGGCTAAGAATTGGAAATCCAAGGGATGCCCGTCAACCGGGGAATAGCTAAACAAGTTGTGATATATGATTGCAATGGAATATTATTGTGCTATAAGAAATGACAAGTAGGATGATTTCAGAAAAACATGGAAAGACTTACATGAACCGATGCATAGTGAAGTAAACAGAACCAGGAGAATGTTGTACACAGTAATAGCAATGTTGTTTGATGAAGAACTGTGAATGACTTAGCTATTTTCAGAAATAAAATGATCTAAGGCAATCTCAAAGGAATAATGATGAAGTATACTATCCACTTCCAGAAAAAGAACTGACATTGATTGAATACAGACTGAAGCAAGTTATTTTTCCTTTCTTTCATTTTTTTATTAGAGTCTTCTTACACAAAATGACTAACATCATATTATGTAACATTACATAATAATAATGTAACATTACATAATTGCACAAGTATAACCTATATCTGATTGCTTACCAGCTTGGGGAGGGAAGGGGAGAGGGAAGGAAGGAGGGATAGAATTCAGAACTCAAAACTTTAAATAAAAATGTTTTTAAAAATTGGGAAAAAATAGTGGCTGACTGAGAAAAACTAATCTTTCTTCTATTTTGCCTCTGTATTCTCTACCAAATAGAATAATCTTCAGATTAAATAAGGTCAAGCAAAAATATATTCTGGAAATATAAGTAAACAGATGATAAATGAGTTTCAAGCTACTCTTAGTGTGAATCAATAGACTCAGAGGAACTACAACTGGTAATGAAAGACTCCCCAGGTGATAGTTAAATTGATATTCATGATTCTACTGTCCTCTCCATTTTACAGATGAGGAAATGGAGGCAAACAGAAGTTAAGTGACTTGCCCAGGGTCACACAGCTAGCAAGTGTCTAAAGTTGGGTTGGAACTCAGGTCTTCCTGATTCCAGGCCCAGTGCTCTATCTATTGTGCCACCTAGTTACCTAGTCAATTAGCCCAACCATACCCAAAAGATGTATTACATCCATAGCCTCCTTTACAAGTGTTCATCCAGATTATACTTATAAAGTAACAAGTTCTAGAGCTGGAAAGGACATTGGAATCATAAATATCAAGCGCAGCCTAACTCTGGTCAGTCATTCCACACATATGGTCTCAGGGGACCAGGAGAATACATGTGGACACAAACTCATTTCCATAAGACTTATCAGTGATTAAGTCAATAACGTCATTTGATATGTGATGAACAGCATATTACTGATATGGGAGATGTAACAATAATCATAATTGACATTTATAGAGCACTTTAAGGTTTCTACTATGCACTGTCTCATATGATCCCCACAACCCTGCTGTATAGTAGTTACTATTATTAATTCCATTTTACAGATGAGGAAACTGAGCCTCAGAGCAGTTATTTGCCATGAGTCATACAACTAGAGTCTTAGGTGGATTTGAACCCAGGTCTTTCTGACTCCAAGGTTCAGCACCCTATATGACAATGTAAATAATCATGAGACTCACACATCATGTACGAATATCTATCTACCACAATTCTAGCTCTACTATACTTAAAAGTAGTGTTGCAAATTAAAATGTGGAGTGAGGGTGGGGCAGCATTTTTGTAAGCCTTTTGACTTTTTAAAATTATGTGTGAGACTCATTAGTATTTCTTTTGGTTTAACCTGCAATATTCTTATGATTCTGATACTATCATCTCCTGTGTGAACTGGCAAGATATCAAACTGTCATGAGGTTCAGATACTGTTCCTACTCTAATTTCACCCTTTCCCCAACATTGTATTTCCCCAACCTAAAAATGGCATCCTTAAACCTTACCTCCTCTAAATTGTAGATCAAAGATCCCTAAGTGTATTGTTTGAAAATTTAGTTAATGTTTTCTCTAAAACATTCATGAAAAGAACTTTTGTTGGGTAATAAGGAAACTTGAATAATGAAAATGGTTAATCTAAGTAGTATTTTATTAGGTCTGTGTTAAGGTTGGGCACTCGACAAGTAAGTGTTTAACACTCAGTAACAATTCAAAGCTACTGACAGTACCTAACATGGGCATGTTGAAGAGAGGTGAGAAAAAAAATGGATGATTTGGGATATAACAGTATTTGGAGAAGGACTAGAGTACGTAAAAAAAAAAAGACAAGAAAAGTCTGGTTTTTAAAGAAGGCAGTTAAATTTGATAAACATTTTAAAAACTCATGACTTTGAATCTATGATACCAGCATGTTATTATCATGAATCTCACATTTACTCTGAATGTTTGGTAAATTACAGTGAATTACATTATCTTTCTCCGGGATGCTGCCCAAAGCAACAGCACATGTATATATCCTTGTAGCAGTCACCTTCACATGAGAAGGGGGAGTTCTGACTATTCTATCACAGGGGAGTCCCAGAGATATATTTATGCCATCCCACAGGGTGGCTAGCTTTGTCCTAGGTCATAACTGTCATTTTGGAGCCAATCATCTCTTGCCAAATTGGATCCCCTTGCCTATTTCAGGACATCTTCAGAACTGACATAGTCTCCAGGTGGAAATAAGAGTTGTGGAGGAAAAACCTCTTATATAAGGGACAGCTTGGGATCAGAAGGAATATCTGAATCTGGCTAAGTCTATCTAAACTGAAACTTAGACAGGATGATATTAGTATTTGTTTAGAACATTTACTTAAGTACCTTTAATCAGGGTGGATTCAAAATATCATAGATTTAGAGGTAGGTGGGTCCTTACGGACCATGTAGTCCAATCTCCTCATTACAGAGATGAGAAATGAGGCCCAGAGAGGTCAAGTGACTTGGCTAAAGTCACATAGCTAGTGGCAGAATCAGTATTAGAACCCAGGTCCTCCTGAGACCAAATCCTGCATTTTGCCCCTTGTATTATACATTCACTTGATGGAATCTCATCTACAATAACTTTTGTATTTTGAGAGTAAGATATGTCATGAAATCAATTCATCTCAACAGATATTTATTAAACATCAACTAGGTGTGAGGCCTTGTCATGAACATATCATAAGTATGTTCATGAATGAAACAATAGGCAGGGCATTTCCAATATTATCTTAATAGTGACAACCATTTTTAATGTCTTGAGCTGGACTATCTCTTTCATTATAGGAAAAAAAAAACTGCTTCAGCTGTCATGTACACATCTTTGGTAGACACTCTTACCTCATCTGCAACTTTCCATAATTCATGATCACTCCACTGTCCATAAGGATCCAGGTTTTTTCTAAATGTTCCAGAAAATATAAATACTTTCTATTTGGGTAGAGGAAAAAGGAAAGGATATGATTAAAAACTTGACTATATACTATTTTTGTATTTTTAAAAATTAACTTATTTTTAGTTTTCAACATTCACTTCCATAAGCTTTTAAGTATTAAATTTTCTCCCTCTCCTTCCCTATCTTCTTCCCCAAGATGGCATGCAATCTGATATAGGCTCTACATATACATTCCTATTAAACATATTTTCACATTAGTCATGTTGTAAAGAAGAATTAGAACCAACAGGAGGAGACACAAGAAAAAAGAAACAAAACAAAACAGAAGAAAAAAAAGCAAATACTGTGCTTCGATTTACATTCAGACTCCATAGTTCCTTCTCTGGATGTAGATAGTATTTTCCATTATGAGACTTTTGGAGATGTCTTAGTTCTTTGCATTCCTGAGAAGAGCTTAGTCTATCAAAATTATTGATTATATATTTTAGAACAAAAATAATAGCCTGAGGGGCAGTACTTCTTGTTGCAAATCTAATTTCAAATCTAAGAAGAATCCTGCGCACAATGACATAATTCCCACCGACTTGGACCAGGCAGTCCATCACAATGGCAGTCTTATTTCACAATCCACACTAAATTTAGACTTTAAACAAAATTGCTTTTATGGATTTTTTAAAAAATATTCAACACAGAGTATAGCTATTCTTATTTCTTTAAGTATGTAAAAAGAATCAAGCAGTTGAAAGTTATATAGAACTCTTCATTTTGGTTGCCATTTCCTCATTATTAGAAAATGTGAGACAAAAACATTATAGGGATAGGGACTAGAACTGTGACTTCACTGATACAGGGGATTCTCAGTCAGCACCTCATCTTCAACTTATAGTCTTAGAGAGTCGCTTAGAGCATTCAGAGGTGAAGTGACTTGGCCAAGGTCACACACCCACTATTTCAGAGGTGGTAATCAGATGGAGGACTTCCTAGCTTCAAGAACAGTTTTCTATTCAATATAACTTGTTGCCTCTCTAAAACATTATAAATGTGTAAAGTAGCCAATGACTACTCACTTTACAAAAATATCCTTGAAGCTCTCAAGTTGGAAGTATAAATGGGAACAGAACAGCCTATAGTCCTCTCACAACTACCTCAGTGAGGATCAAAAAAGAGTACTAAGATGAGTAATGGTCTTCTAAGATCCAAGAAGAAATTATAGTAAAAGCATTTTCCCAGACCATTTCGCCCAAAAAGAGACAGACAGAAGTCTACAGGTAGTAGGGAAAAGATTATAAAACCCCCTGCCTTTAAGTATACCTCATGGAAGCCTTCCCACTGGAAGACTAGAAAGGAACTTGAAAGAAACCACCAGTTACTTCCTAAAAGTCAAAATCCAGATCTTCTAGATCAAAGAGAAAAAAAAAGTAAGTTACCAGAAAGAAAAAAGATCAAGTGCCAAGGAGACAGTTAGGATCACAAAAGACATAGCAACTAACACTAAAAAGAGGAAAGCTTGGAATGTTATTCTAGCAGGTAAAAGATAAAAGCATATAAATAAGAATAATTTACCCAGAAAAACTGAGTATAATATTACAGGGTGAAAAAAATCTACCTTTAACAATATAAAAGATATTAAAGTATTCCTGATAGAGACCAGAGTTGAATAGGTACCTTAAAATGCAAACACAGATTTCATGAAAAACATAGAAAGGTTGAGTAATACATTTGAGCAATTGGAAGGAACTATACTTATAGGATGAGGAAGTTTATATTCTAATAGGCAGGGAAGAACAAAAAATCTTCTCAGAATCCAAATGTTTTCAAGAGTCATAGGGAGTAAAAAAAGGCATAGGGACTGGGAGAAGTTTTGTTTTATTTTGATGCTCTTAAGAGAAGAAAGAAAATTAAGGTAAAGGAGAGCAAGGAAGGGGTAAAATTTAGTAACTCACATAATCAAAGTGTTTGAGAATAACACTATATAAACATGGATGAAGGGATGAGTAAAATGTATTACATGAACCTCAATTTCATCTGACTTGGACAAAGGAGGGTTGAGCATGAGTGCATGAACTCACACTTACACACACACACACACACACACACACAAACACTCTTATGCACACACACATCCAAAGAATTTGTGGCTAAAAGTCATTAAATTCATCAGAGAGTTAGTCTAGAAAAGGGATAGGAGATATGGGGATTAAGAAGAAGGCCAGGTTCAGTGGAGAATTAGTCATAAGCAAAACAAATTCTGACTCAAGAAGCTTGCACAATTATTAAATCCTGAGGTGGTGATAAGGGCTGGGCAAAGGGAAGAGAAGAGGCACCATAGACCAGTATATGAGCACATTCCTCTCTCACAACTGTCTTCTTCTTTGTAAAAAAGGGGATAGATGGGGGAAATAGGGAAAAATATGAAAGCACAGGATAGAAGAAAATGCAAAATCATCAATTATACCTGCAGATATAAATGGGATGAACTTACCCATAAAATAGAGAATAATAGAATGAATCAGAAAGCAGAATCCAACAATATGTTATTTACAAGAAACACAAAGATTGACACAGAATTAAATAAAGAGATGAAGCAGAATCTGTTATGTGTTGAATGAACACTAAAATTTAAATTTTTTGCAGGAACAAAGTCAATGCAGTTAACATTAGAGGGGAAACAATAAGAAGCTGAACAACAATGTTGCAGGGGATTGGGAGAAGAAAGGAAAGAAAAGAGGACAATTGAAACATCTTTTTAAATGCAAAAAGAACAGAAGGAAGTATAAAAGGAAACAGATAAGCAGGACAATTTTGAAAGTAGCATGTTATGTTTATTACATACTTTTTTTTTTAAAAAAAAAGGAAGTTATGTACAATAAAGGTTCACAGTTTCACTTGTGATCATCTTTTTGTTCAACTTCCTATATGGAAATACTAATTTTGGGGTATTAAGTTTGTTTTTTAAAGGGCTCTTGTTTTTACAAAAGGATTCATCAAAAAAAGGCATAGGGACTGGGAGAAGTAACCTTCCTTGATTGATTTAAGAAAGAAGAGAAGGGAAAGAAAAGGAAGGAAGGAAGTATTTATAAAGTATTTGCTACATGCAAAGCATTGTGCTAATGCTTTACAAATATTTTCTCATTTGATCCTCACAACAACAACCCTGGGAAGCAGGTGTTATCCCCATCTCACAGGTGGCAAGCACAGGTTAAGTGACTTGCCCAGGGTCACATAGAAAGTACGTGTCTGAGGCTAGATTTGAACTCAGGTCTTTCTAGCTGCAGGTTCAGCATTCTATCCACTGAGCCACCTAGGACTTTTTTCATTCTAAAGTAGCTAAAATTAGCAAAGATCCTAGTAATCATGCTATACTTTATGAAACCTATCCTATACCCTTTTAGGTGAAGGCATATATGGTAAATAAATAGTCTCATCATAAAATTAGAGCAGTCATCTCATTAGCTTTGCTTGCAAGCCAGACTGACCAGAGATGAATCATTTCGACACAGGGATATAGGATATGTGTTACTACATGTAGAAGTCTTATAATGAAGAAAACTGGCAATATGCATTTTTATCTTTCTTTACAAATGCTAAAGAAAGTTTAGGGCAGAAATTTTAAAACTAGAGGCACTAGAATATTGACATGTCAACCATGTCTTTCCTCACAGCAGGTTATGCTTTTGACCCTTTCAAAACGAAGTTAGAAAATTTTTTTCTAGGGCTAAATGTCCAAAGCTTGAACTGTGATGAGCTTGATATCGTTAAGGAAATAGTTCTATAATTTTTGTTTATAACTAATTTGACTAACATTAAAATAATTGTGTACTCCCCCAGGTATGGAAAAGTTAACTGAACAAACTCTCTCACTGCTAAAAGTTTCATATCATTAACTAAACATTTAAATTTCTTTTACAAATATTAGTTAGTACTACTGGATTGAATAGTGCTTCTTTCAAAATGATTTTAGTTGTTGGACCAAACTAAACAATTTTTAATCAGCATCTGTGAATCAGAATGAATTATTTTCTCTATAAAACAAATGCTCATAGAAAGTGACATTTCAAGTGTGTAAGTATTTATTTAATGTTATGAATAGCATAAAGATTAATTCTTGGGAATCAAGAAACTATAAGGAAATAATAATTATTCACCTATTGGACAAATTAGTTAACTATGAGTGGCCTGATTTCCCCTTTATGTATTGTACCAAGTATGGTAAGAATAGACTAACTTCTAGGGAACACTTTGAGAGCCTCTGAAAACATGTATCATATGAATAGACATTGTTTAATATGAGATAACAAAAAATGGTAAGAAAGCTATCAGTTAATGAGTCTCAGACTGTATCTGCAAGTAAATGGACACTAATAGACAACAGATTACCCTGTTTCAAACTAGCCTAGCTTGGGAGTGAAGGATGTCCAAGTTTGAAAGCTTTTCACTAACTTAAAATGGTCCTAATCTGTTTCTTATAAATATGTTGTCATAACTCCACAAGTACTAACATAGATTTAACCCTTCCTCTTTCCAATGCCAATAATTTTTCCATTCCCTTGCTACCCCCATCCTAGCCATCATCATCATCATACCATAGCTAAAGTACTTTAGCATAGTAGATTTGCAGTTCTGTGTACAATTATCTTTTTTATTATGCTATGTTACAGAGATGCTTGTTTTATTCCATCAATGAAAAATAAAAGATAAAAATAAACTACTTTAATAGCATCTTTTCCTGGCTAATGGCACCACAAAGATCTCTGCTATTTCTCTGGAAATTCTAGAACCCTCTTTGGTTGTGGGACTGGATTCTAACCCTGTCAAGTGCAAGGTTGGTGTCCCTGACTCTAAGATCTCCAACCTCTAATTATTCACAGCAGGCTGACGGAAAACTGATTTAATGTCTCATATTCCTGTTCAAGAATTTAGAATGCCTTCAATACCTATGATATTAAGTCCAAATTCCTCACTTGCTAATTCTTTTTCCCCTATCCTCTCTAAAACTTACTTTCCATTCCAACCAGGTCAATAACATCACTGTCTT